CTACTTTTCCATTAAAATATTTATGAATACACTTGCATGACATTTGTTGTGCCTACTGCCTATTAAAAAGAAGACATGTTCAAATTTAGCATACTATTTGCGGTGACCACTGTCCCCAAAGTGTCCCCAGCCACCTAACCAACTTTCTCTCCCACTGCTGTTCTGCACCCATCATGCTACCACTCTATTTCCTTGGGGTGTGGCTGAAATATGAAGAACACATTCACGATCCTGCTCTTCAGTCTCTTACCTCTAGGAACTGGGCTGCTGCTCAACACGCATTGGATCTACCCAACTCCTTCCTGTCCTTCAAGGCCTGTCCAAGCAGCTGAGTCTAGGAAGCTCCCCCATATTTGCATTCACAATTCCACTGCCATCTCCTGCAACCCTGCATTGAAAGCAATGATTCTTTCTGGATTGGCATGACTCACAGCCATTCAGATTTAGTTTGTTCCCCAGGGGTTCATGTCTTGAAAGCTTAGTCTCCAGGGTGAGAGAATTTCAGAGGAATCCTGGAGGAAATTCCTCAGGTTGCCCTTGCAAGCAATGAAGGGAGTCTATGGGCTGCAGGGGTCATTCTGGAGACAGGGTTGTTATAACAAACCTGGGCCCTCTCCCTCTTCCTTACAGCTGAATGAGCTCTTTCTCCAGCAGTCCCTGGAGCCACTGTGGCCCTACCAGCACGAGGGCCTCACAAAGCTAAGCTGATACTACAGCCCTGAACCCCCACAACCACGGGTTAACTCAACCTCGGCTCTTTATTACACAGGAGAGCGTCGATGACAACGCCTGGGTACCTCTGCTACACCTGTTCCCCCAACCCGGAGTTGTGTCACATTACACCTGTCCACCCAAACCTGGAGTTGTGTCACGTCTCAGCTTTATCCTGGCAATGTATTACACCAAAATCTTATAGCCAATGCATAAAGTTTAACTTCAAATTCCTGAAAGCCATTGCTGGTACTAGGTACTAAACCATTCCAAAAAAATGTTTTAGAAGTTGGTTTCTTGGGCCCTGCGCGGTGGCACAGTGGTTAAGGTCCTCGCCTTGCAAGCCCGGGATCCCATATGGGCGCCGGTTCTAATCCCGGCAGCCCCGCTTCCCTTCCAGCTCCCTGCCTGTGGCCCGGGAGAGCAGTCGAGGACGGCCCAAGGCTTTGGGACCCTGCACCCACGCTGGAGACCCGGAAGAGGCTCCTGGCTTCGGATTGACATAGCATCGACCGTTGCGCTCACTTGGGGAATGAATCATCGGACGGAAGATCTTCCTCTCTGTCTCGCCTCTCTGTATATCCGCCTTTCCAATAAATAAATAATAAAAATTAAAATTAAAAAAAAAGAAGTTGGTTTCTTAAAAATGAAAAACATCAATTAAAGTGAAAATATCTCTACTGAAGGTTCCTCATATTTCTACCACTAATATTCTTTTATTTTTCTCATGGAAATAGAGTGCTTTAGAGCTCCTGGGACACAGTACGCTACAGTATCCCCTAGATTACCAACAGTTGCAAAGAACTGCACTATTTAAAGAAAATGTAACCACCTTAAAAAGTTTTAAACCCAGAGCAACAGCTACAAGAGGGAAAACTCAAAAGTTTCAAATGAACATAAGAAATGGAATAGAAATTTCAACAGATTTTAACACAAATGAACCAGTATTTCCGAAATGAAAAAGCAGGGCTGCTATGTTTTTTGTCAAAGAGTGTCCACAGGCTTGATGCAAGTGCCACACACGGCAGGGACGACACGTCAGGACAGCGGTACCAGGCTGAGTGGTTCGCAGTACTCCTCCCTGCTTCAGAGGTGTAAATAAAGTTAATGAAAGACATTATTCCTGCAACAACACCAAATATGTCTTTCAATTACTCAATGCAACAAAGCATTATTTTCAATTGTTTCTTTTTTAAGATTTTTTTTCTTTTCGTTGGAAAGTCAGATATAAGAGAGATGGAGGGACAGAGAGGAAGATCTTCCGTCCTTTCATTCACTCCCCACGTGGCCACAATGGCCAGAGGAGGCCAATCCGAAGCTAGGACCCAGGCGCTTCTTCCAGGTCTACCATGCAGGTGCAGGTGTTGGGCCATCCTCAACTGCTTTCCCAGGCCACAAGCAGAGAGCTGGATGGACACAGGGCTACTGGGATTAGAACCGGCGCCCATATGGGAGCCCGGTGCGTGCAAAGCATGGAATCTAGCTGCCAGGCTAACACACCAGGCCCTATTTTCAATTGTTTTCAACAGTTTTCTTTCTTTTTTTTTTTAACAGATATCACACAGTGTCTGTAAATCACTATGGAAATTAAACTGATGCTTTAATATCAAAAGTGCTATCAGTCCTGGTGCAATGGCTAAAAGGCTAAATGCTCATCTTACAAGCGCCAGGATCTTACATGGGCACCAGTTCACGCCCCAGCTGTTCCACCTCCCATCCAACTCTCTGCTCGTGACCTGGGGAAGCAATGGCTGATAGCCATCACAGCCATCTGTGGAGTGAACCAGCAGATAGAAGATCTTTCTCTCTATCCTTCTCTCCATAAATCTGACCTGCCATTCTAATCAAATAAATAAATCTTTTTTGAAAATAAAAAAAGAGCTATTACAAATCAATAAGAAAAGTCAATGGCTCCGTTGAGAAAACATGGGCCAACACTATAACACCAAGGCAAAGCTAAACTGATCCTCTTCTTACCCAGCCCCCTGGCCTGGGCCTGGGCCGGTGCCACACACATGCGAGAGCCAGAAAGAACTCCTGGCCTCAGACTGCTGCAGCTCCAGCCACTGCAGCCACCTGGGGGGGGTGAACTAGGGGACAGAGGATCTCTCTCACACACACTTTAACTCTGCCTTTCAAATAAACATTTGACGGTTGCCACGGTGACCAGAGGAGGGCGGAGCTTGCTCCAAGCCCAGCATGTCACTCTAACCCCAGGCTGGAACCCAGAAGGATGGACAGGCCTGTGACAGGGGTTCCTGGAATAAAGGCCATCCAAATTCTTTTCTCTATGCAGCTGATGCGTTCCTTCCCTAGTGGCTGGCAAACATTCTTTTGAAAAACAAAGGTTACCTGTAAGAGGAAATGGTAGAGAAAAAGACCAATATATATAGCAGCTCTAAAAACACAATGTTCAATCTAGATAAATACAAATTAAAACCAAATGGAGAGATCATCTTAACTATCAATATCACAAGACTTCCTAAGGAGTTGGCTTTTTACGCCCAGCCTCTGTTATTCCACGCCAGAAGCCTGGCAGGAAGTCCCTGCCCTGGCTCCCAGTCCAGCTTCTGGCCAATGGAGAGAACCCGCGGTGGCTCAGGTAACTGACTCCCTGCCACCCACGTGACTGAGCTCCCAGCTCCTGCCGCCGGGCAGACATGGATGGACGCACTTGGTCTCTCTCAAAAAACAAAACTGAATGTATTAAGCTTTTAATATAATCTTAGCAAAATATCTGTAAAAGCAAGCAGCCCCCCACACACAGCCATGGGATTACAAAATGGTAGGACGCCAAGGAAGGGCAGGACTTACATGGTCCTATGACCCAGTCATTGCACTTCTGCGGATTTATCATAGAATAATACTTGAATATCTGCAAAATGATGCACATACAAGGTGATCCACAGCCACACGGTACCCCACCGACATGTCTGCGGAAATGGGCGATCTGAAAAGACACGCAGGAAGCTGCTAACACTGCTGACCCCAGCAGGAAACCGTACCAGGGCCAAGCCAGGGAAAGGCCTTGTTCAAATATTAACTCTGGGCATCTTTCAACTTTTGAACTGTAAGATGGCGAGAGATACATTTAAAATACCAGACATCCAGTTTTTAAAACGTGTCTGTTGATGTAAAAATGTCCAAGAAGCAGCCCCAAGCAAGACCTATGCAACTACTGGCCCACCTAGTGTAATACAAAGCTCCTGTTCCGAGCACTCGGGTAACTTTACAGCAAGAGCGAGGGTGGAAACGACAGCTGCACAGCCAAGAGGCCCGAGGCAGTTCATCCACAGCGAGACGCACTGACAAAATGAGGCCGGTCACCGGAGGAAAGCAGCGGCGACGTACAAGGGGCTTCGTTTACGTCTGCACCCTGGCTTCACCTGGAGCACGACAGGCTGGGGGCGCTTTGCGCATCGAGGGGAAGATGTCCCTTTCCTGTGGGAAGCCTGCCTGGGCAGCAGTCTGAGGGTCACGTGCTGTGAGGACAATTAGCAAACAAAGGCGGCTTTCCCCGCCCCCCGGCAGGCGGCCCCTCCTTCCGGAGCGCGGCCAGACGGTCCGGACCTCACCTTGGGAAGGGCACGCTTTGGAAAGACAAACCTGTTGATCAGGGCCTCATAAAGGGGCATCCCTGTACATGCCCTGTGTACCTGACCGGCAAATACGACCAAGGCTTCCACGCTGGGCACACCTGGGGCCAGGGCGCTGCGCCCGATCCACCTGTCCGCCGCCTGTTTTCTCACGAGGGAGCAGACAGTAAACATAACCCTCCAGGGGCAGGAAAAACAAATCATCCCGTGCCCATCGCAGGTGGCTGATGCAGGCTGCGCTGTGTGGAGCCTGTGCCTCAGCTGGAGCCAGATAACGCCCGCTGAGAATGCCAGAGGCGACCCAAGTTCAAGCACCTAGGCTTGTGGCACGTTTGGACGAGAAGGTCCGGCGAGACCTGAGGGTCTTGCAAGGAAGGGCCAGGGCCAAAAGTTTTGGGGGCACGCAGAAAACACCTGTAGGTCAGGCACCTTGCAGGTCGGTTTGCGAGCCGACCCCTTAGCCGCCGGACGCTGGACACCCGCTTGGGCATCCAAATGTTTACAGAGAAGTGTGTCGGTGTGGAGCGGAAACGGGTTGTCTCTACCTGTTCCACACAGGTGGCTAGAAAGCGGAGCGGGGCTGGGCTTCTTCCTCAGCTGCGTCCAGCGCGCACGCCTACCCCGGCGACCCCACTCTTGACCCCAGGACCCCAAGGTCACTGCCCTCCTGCCCCGCCCAGCCGCAGCTCTCACCAAAACAGCAAGTTGGCCCCGACGAAGGCGAGCAGGCTGCACAGCGGCCTCTTCCAGCTCAGGAGCTCGCTGGCGCGGCTGCCCAGCCACAGCCCGGGCTCCCCGAACAGCCAGGTCACGGCATCCACCACCCAGCCTGCGGCCTCCTCCACCTGCGGCCGCGCGCCGGGTGCCACCGCCGCGGTCGCCTCCTGCGCTGCCTCCTCCTCCTCCTTCGGGGGACCTTGGGGCGGCGGCCGCGCCTGTTCCTCCGCAGCCAGCACCGGGCATCCCTCCTCAGCGTGCTCCGCGGGCGCGGAGCTCGCCATCTTCAGCGGCGCTTCCCGGCGCCGACGGGCACGGGCACGGGGACGCGCGCGCCTGAGGGGTCGGCGCCGAGGGCGGCGCGCGGCAGCGGGTCCTGCGCGGGGTGCGCACCGCGGGGTGCCGGCGACTGGGTGCCTTGTGACGTCAGCTCAGACCTCGGTGGGGGCGCCGCCCGAGGAAGTGGGAGCGGCCAAGTTCACACAGGGGCGGGGCCGGGGCACCGAGGGGCTGGGCGCGTTCCCCCCGGGAGCCCGGGTGCTCGGGATGCCCTCTCCAGGGACCGCGGGAAGATGACACCCTGGACTGGGGCAAAATAAATGAGTCGCTTCCCCCCCCCCTCCTTTTTTTTTTCTTTTCTCAGACCTTGGCCACCCGTCCTTCGGGTTCCCCTGCCCGCCCCTCCGGGACAGCGTACTTCAACCCCTTGAAAGCGCCCCCACACACACCAGACGACCCTCTTCCCCGCCTCATGCCGGCGCCAGCGCAGGTCTGCACCAGTGACCACAGCCAGCGGCGGTCTGGGCGCCCTAGAAGAAAAGTGCTGATGCATTGGTGCTGGGCTCAGAAAGCAAAAAAAAAATGGGGTCACTTAAGGAGCGCAGGGAAACAACGGCCTTTGCTTGTGCCCAAGTGGTCAGGCTGTTCTGGGCGACACCCAGGTGAGTGGAAATGGGGAGCAACTAGGCCTTTGCAGTCCCCCAAGGTTTGCAGAATTTGTGCATCCTGCCGGTGTTAACCAGCAGGTGTCCGGGCACCTCCTGGGCCGGCTGATTCTGGATGACTGTGAAGACAGGGGAGGAGGCGGGTGGTCTCTCGTCTGTTTTCACTATTTGCGGTTTTCCATCTGTCTCCTCTTTAACCCCCTTCTTGTTGCTCTCCTCAGCGCCCCGCCCCCACGTTCTGGCTTGCAAGGCCCAACCCAGGCAAGTCATCCCCTCCTCCCCTCTGCCGGCCGAGGTGCACACTCAGCGTGTGCCTTTGCGCAGGCCTGGGGGGGGGGGGGCGCTGCTTGCTGCAGCCTTGGAGTTTGACATGCAAGCAGTGCGCACTGCCTGGCAACTCCAGCTTGCCTTTTGGAGTATCTGACTACCTCACGGGAGGCAGGGAGGCAGCCTGTGAGGATGTGAAAAAGCCACATGGAAGCATTTCAAGTTTTGTAACCCTCACAAAAGATGCTTTTCCCGAGTGGGGCCCTCCCTCGGAGCCCTTGCAAAGGAGCCTAGGGGCGCTTGCCAAGGAGTGGCAGGTGAGCGGTTCTGTGATGCCAGCATCCCCCCGGGCACTGGTGGTTTTGCAGGCTGCTCCAGCTCTGATCCAGCTCCCTGAATGTGGCCTGGGAGAGCAGAGCCTGTGGGCCCAAAGCCTTGGACCCCTGCGCCCATGTGGGAAACCCTGGGAAGCTCCTGGCTCCTGGCTTCCACGTGGCCCAGCCCCATTTTGTGGCCATTTGGGAAGTGAACCAGTGGGTAAAATATCTCTCTCTCCGTCCCTCTCACTGCCTTTCAAATACATATACTTTTAAAGTGAGAAATACAGCTTTACTGTGTACCTCGGCCTTGATACGGCACTCAGTACTACTCAAGAGTTGCAGTAACTTGAAAGCTGCCACTCGTGCTGTGCCACCACCTGCATACAGAGGGTAGGCAGAGGAGACGGGGAGCCGGGCACCCCCGTTCTTCACATTCGTCCTGCTCTCTTGAATGCAGACGCCTTGTTGGGTGGGAGCCTTGAAACTGAAAGCTGTTGGCAGCCAGGACACAAAAGCTAAGCCCCAGTCACTGTGTGGGGTTGGCAACACTTGTTAATCTGTCTCTAACGATGATTCTCCCTCCACACAGCAAGGCATCGTGCAGCTTCCCTTTCTGTCACTTGTAATCACTATGGAGAAAATTCTACAGCAAACTGTTTCTGCATAAAAGGCTCAGCTAATTGCTCTCATCTGTCTATCGCACCTCTGGCTTGTCAGCCGTACTTGACAAGCTGCGTGGCAGGTGCAGACCCGGCAGACACAGAGGAGTGCTGCCCGGTGTTGCCTTCTGCATCTCATTACCTTTGTGATGCTTGAGTGATCTACGGCACTCAGACTTCAGCATGATCACGCCAAAAGGGGCTGTAACAAGCTGGCGACCAAAGTTTCTGTGGGTCTTTTAAGATTCTCTTCTAAATCATGCATCGTTCCATGCTGGCGACAGTGGTTAACACCGAAGGGCTAGACAGTCTGACTGTACAGACTGAGGAAAGGAGACCCCAAAGTGCAAGTGTGATTATAGCCACCCAATTGGACAGTTTTGTAAATAGCACAGCTTGGGCCCGGTGTGATAGCCTAGTGGCTAAAGTCCTCACCTTGTATGCACCGGGATCCCATATGGCACTGATTCATGTCCCAGCTGCTCTACTTCCCTTCCAGCTCCCTGCTTGTGGCCTGGGAAAACAGAGGGTGACCCAGAGCACTTGCCTGGAAGACCCTGAAGAAACTCCTGGCTGCTGGCTTCAGATGGGCGCAGCTCCGACCATTGCAGCCGCTTGCAATGAGAACCAGTGGCTGGAATATCTTTCTCTGTTTTTCCTCTGAACATCTGACTTTCCAGTGAAGGTGAATAGACCTTTAGGAAGACAGGCAGGCAGGCAGCTAGCTCAGGGCTGGCAGAGGGTACAGTGGTTCAGACAGTGCTTGCAAGGCCTGGTATCTGTCTAGCAGAGTGCCTGGGTTGGTGTCCCACGTTTGCTGCCCAGCCAGCTTCCTGCTAACATGCAAATAAGTCAGTCTGATTGAGTGTCTGCAGTCTCCGGACTGCAGCCCGGCCCAGCCCGGCCCAGCCCGGCCCAGCCCGGCCCAGCCCGGCCCAGTTCTGGCTGTGGGTATCTGGGGGAGTGAACCAGGAGATAAAAGATTCTCTCTCTCTCCCCCTACCCCCATATGTCTCTGTCTCTCTGATTTTTTTTTTTTTCAAGATTTATTTGCTTATTTGAAAGTTACAGAGAGAAAGGGCTTCCTGCATCGGTTAACTTCCCCAAATGGCTGTGACGGCTAGGGCCAAGGCAGAACCAGGATCCCGAAACATCATCAAGATGTCCCCCGTGAGTGGCAGGGCTCCAAGCACTGAGCCATCTTCCCCTGCATCCCAGGCACATTATTAGGGAACTGGATATAGAGTTGATCAGTCTGGACTCAAACTCACACGGGATACCTGCATGACAGGCAGTGGTTTAACCCACAGTGCTGTAGCGCTGGCCCAGCTCTTTCAAAAAAAAAAAAATATATATATATATAAATATATACACACACATATATATATATGTCATTCAAGCAAAAAAAAGATGAAAGATTTTCGTTTCTCTCTTCCTTTTTTTTTAAGATTTATTTTATTTTTATTGGAAAGTCAGATTTACACAAAGAGAGGGAGAAACATCTTCCTTTCACTGACTCACTCCCCAAGTGGCCACAATAGCTGTAACTGAGCTGATCCGAAGCCAGGAGCCAGTAGCTTCTTCCAGATCTCTCAACAGGTGCAGGTCCACATTAGCAAGAGGCTGGGATTAGGAACTGAGACTTGGGTCTCGGACTCTGGGTGTGGGATACGGAAGGCATCCTGATTGTTGTCCTGATCTCTAAGCAAATGCCTGCCTTTCTTCTCATCATCCCATGACGCCACAGTCCCACTGGGCTTGGGTCCCCAGTGGCTTCACTTACCGTAATTACCCCTCCAAAGGCCCCGCCTCCAGATACCAGTCAGATTAGCCCAAGTCCGCTCTGCAATCATCAGGATGATTAGGTTGTAACAGGACTATTGGTGGAGGCAATCAAAGCATAACAAACACCCACTCCGTGCACTCCTGTAAGCAGCCAGCCCTAAGTAACCAGGAGCTGTCTTCCAAAGCCTTCATTCCTTTGGTCAATCTGTTTTTCAGTGCTGTATTTCTCAACATTTGTTAATCTGAACACTTAACTACAGACATACTGGTTTTCCCTCTGTCCACACACTCAAGAAAATTCATTCCCATGCTTGTGTTCATGCTGCAAAACCTTTCCCTGTCCTTTGAACCTCTTCAAGCCTATCACTCAGGCCCAGCACAATGGCTCAGCAGCTAACGTCCTCACGTTGCATGCACTGGGATTCAATATGGGCACTGCTTCATGTCCAGCTGTCCCCTTCCGTTCCAGCTCCCTGCCTGTGGCCTGGGAAAGCAGTCGAGGACGGCCCAAAGCCTTGGGACTCTGCACCCATGTGGGAGACCTGGGAGAAGTGCCTGGATCCTGGCTTCGGGTTGGTGCAGCACCGGCTGTTGTACTCACTTGGGGAGGATCTTCCTCTCTGTCTCTCCTCCTCTCTGCATATCTGACTTTCCAATAGAAATAAATAAATCTTAAAAATATATATATACAAAATGGCCTACAGAACTTTTTTTAAAGAAAGAAAACTGATGGAAAACATTAGACCTGAGTCAAATCCTGGCAAAACAGCGGAATGCATGGGGTGGAACATTCTAAAAGCCCACTGGCTTGGGTTTCCAGGGAGTTGACAAGAACAGAGTCGGAGGAGACTCGAGAGCTGATACAGCCAGATCAGATGTGTGAGACATGACTGGGTTTGGGGCTACAACTAGCCCCCCAGGACACTCTGCAAGGTAATTGGGGAAATTCTGCTTCAGACTGCATGATAGATAACCTTGTTTAGTTCATACGGGTTTAACTAATGTAGGTGTGACAATGGGACATGGTGGCAGAGGACAGTGCCTTTGCAGCACTTGGGGTCGTATACCATGATGGCAGCCTCCTTTCAGCAAGCCAAGTGCGTGTGTGTAGGTGTGCACGTGTGTCTGTATGTGGAGAACGAGAGAGGAAGAGGAAATAGGTGCGGCCAGCTGCTGCTGAATGTATATGAAGGGGATCCGGGCGCTCATTGTGCTGTTCTTTCAACCTTCCTGTGGGTTTGAACAAAAAAAAGCCTGTTTTTCAGAGGATTGTCAGATAGTTCCTATCATTTCCTCCTCTTTCCCTTCTAGATCGCTGCCCTCGGGGACAAGGACT